ATACATTTCATTTTAAATGTATCAAAACTTACCAGAAGTAATTTTTATCTTTATTAATGGGAATGTCATCCAGTCATCCTGAGGGTTAATTTTATCCCTCGTTGCTTGTTCGGTTTTTGTGGCACTCATCTTATTTGGCCTCCTAATTGTGTTCTTGTTCCTGTCAATCCAATTGACAGGAACTACACCCTCCTGCTCCCGTTCATCTTCCTTCCAAACAGCCCTTGCGTACATGACCTGGAAAGGATAGTATATAATGTACATGTTTCTTTTTGACAACTCCTGCAGCAGACATTCATATACAAAAGGAAACATAAGAGTTGGAGGTGGCAGGAATCAGCAATCACTAACGACTACATTAGAATGACAGGGGGAATAAAGCAAGCAAGTTGAGGTTGAGCAGGTTTCATTGGCAGAAGTATATTTTATTAAGAGGAGAGTAAGGGTGGGCATCTTGATACCAAGATAAGAATTGGTATCAAATCGATACTAACATGATGGAATTGTGCTTATGGTTTTAGTTTATCTGCTCTCTAATCATCCAGCAAATTACTCTCTGTACCGCTCTGTTGCTCACATGTTCACATGGGCACAGGCACTCTTCATCCCTCCCCTGCTGTACGGGAGAGCAGAGTCAACACATCGAGTGAGCAAGTGAGCAGCACTGAGCAGTCCATGATGGCAGAGAGAGAGAGAGAGAGAGAGAGAGAGAGAGAAGTGCTGTGTGAACTGTATTCACTGCAGCGGATAAGGAAACCAACGTGTGATGTGTAAGGTAATAAGGCAATTATTTTATTGGGGACTGCATAGTATATGCAGACACTTGTTATTTACATCGTAAAGTGGGCTTTAAAAAGGTATAACCCACTATAAATAAAAGTTATAAATAAAGTTTATTTTAAAAAATAAACTTTGTTTATACCCAACTTTATAACCCACGAGAAAGTTGCAGAAAACAAACAGATGGGAAAAGGTGATTGGTTGTGATGACTCCCTGCTGAGATCAAACCAAAAGAAGAAGAATATCCAACTTTTATTTATGTTTCAGACGATGGTGAAGGGGTATGAGGACAAAACCACCAGTTTCTTGTGGAAGGCAGGCCACCTTGCGGAAAAGGTCCCCTTCCTGCAATAGTTGTTTTTTCATTCTGACCTGACCACTTCCCATACACACTATATTCAAAAGTCCAGAGCTACATGGCTGGTGAAACAAAGGTGAAGTGTGATGATGGTGCAGGATATCACAAACAAAGGTGCCATCAGCATTTTTCTGTCTGACAAAAGCAAATTTGTCATCTCTCAAGAGAAATCAACTGTCTCTCTCTTTAAAAGAAAGAAACACTTTTGGGTGCATTTTGCCCTCATTCACTTCTGAGTGTTGGATTTCTGCCAAACGCCTGGTGACTTGCTCAAGGGGACTACGCCCACTCCTCACGTGTTTTTTATTTGTTGCAGGTAGTTTTCAAATGGAAAACAGGAAATATCATTCAGGGAACAGTTGAAGTGTTTGACATCTTCATGGAGATGGGTTAGTCCATGTACATTGTATACAGGAAAGGTTTTACCATACAGGTCAGGACAGAGCATGACAAAATATTTGATTAGTCCTTCAGCATATTGGAGATAAGCCTTTCGAATTCTCTCATCTGACTCCAGCATTATTGACATGGCTACTGTCAGGGACAAGAAATGTTTGTATCTCACAGGGGATAACAGGTTTTAAAACCACAGGTCCAGTGTACAACAAAAACTGCCGTAGTTCAGTGGCTTTCCACCTATCCACTAAATCATCACTCCTTAAATGTCACTAGAAACAGATGGACTAAGTTTTACAAATAAATCACTCCTTAATTTTTTTTTTCCTTTATCCTCTTTACTGGATTAACAGAAATAGCTTCAAGAGAAAATAGCAACAGTTGGTTTATGAATGAAGCCGTGTAAATTTATCATCATAAAAAGAGTAACTGTGCACCGTTACTCTTTTATGATTATAATTTATGATTGTAAATTTTATGGTTATAAAAATTATGATTCACTAAGGCACACCTGCACCTGTCTTGAATGTCTATACAACCTCCAAGTCCGACGTTCAAACATTCGACTTTATATCGACGTACAAGTGAGGTCATGATTAAACGTCCAGAGTGGACCTTGTTTGCACATCCTGGAGACGTCCAGAATTGGTCTAGACCGACGGACTCAATATAAACGTGATCTGCACATCCATTCGACGTCTAATGTTTAGTGGGTAGTCTCTCCAGTGGGTCTTGGGTTTTCCCAAGGGTCTCCTCCCAGCCGGACATGCCCAAAGCACCTCTCTAGGGAGGGAAATGGAAGCATCCTTACATTTACAGGCCGTAAGGTTTTACCCATAACAGCAGTGTCACATATAGGTGGACACATGTAGGTATTTAGTATTCAACCTAAATTTCATACCTATGTCTAACTTCTAAACCAGTTTAGAAGTTAACTTCTAAACTGGTTTAGGAGTTAGACGACCTAATTCAAACACCTTGATGATGCCCTCATAGGTAAACATACTCATGTTAAGGCATACTCATCTGGACCTTAGTTAAAACAATGTAATTATAATCTCAGTATGGGCTGCAGTATGACTTTTACTTATGAGAGAAAAATCTAAATTATAACTATTATTTATAATAAAAACTGAACAGATTTGTTCCATACTCTGCTGGATCCATGGAAATGCTGGTGAAAAGTTTCCCCTGCCTCTGCTGGCTTGGACTTCTAACTACATTATCAAGGGTAATAATAATTTAGACGATTGCCACAACAGTTTGGTGTAACTGTGAACATAAATTTACACAAAAGTTTATGAATAATAAAAGTAATGATTGATGTATTTCAAACAGTAGGAATGTGTAACAAAATTTAATTTGCTTCATCCTTCCTTTTTTTTTTTTTTTTTCTGCCTCAACATGTTCCCTCTTTCACTGCACTTACTCCATTGACTTTTGGTCCTTAGGGCTATTTTTGATAGAAAAAAGAAAAGAAAAAAGATTTACACACGTCTGTTTTCTGTTTAAAAAAAAAAAAAAGAAAGAGAAAGAGACTTAAGCCACATTACGAGGTAAGAAGGGCTTTCAGGAATCTAAATCCCACACACAATATATATTTTCCCCAGGTCCATAACTTATCTAACTTTTTCTTGTTTATTTTATTTTATTTTATTTACACATTTTCTATTTTTTGCCTTTATTTGTTATCTTGTCATTTTGAGCCATCAAAAAGTACCTGCTTCGGTTTAGGAACCCATCACAGCTTGCATTTTAAGGCCCACATAACTAATTTTCTGCATACTTTATATATCAATTTTCTTTAAAACAAAAAAAAGGTATTTTTATAAATTAATTGCTTTGGTATGTATGATTAAGAAAACCTGCAGAGGTTGTTTTCAACCAGATACAAACATAATATTTTGTTTCTGACTATTTTATGATTCACAAAAACATGTCTGGAATGCAGTAAAATGCTTGAAATGCAAAGTTGCTGAACATTTTAAAGTTCTACAGATTGTCCTTCTCTCATGCGTGAACCTCTTAGTTTGTCTTAAAAAGGGTGTCTGTGAATTCTTGTGTTCCGTGTTAGATCCAGTGAAGAAAATAAGTTCAACATGGCCACAATCGTCAGACATTACAACACATTTCACAAAAACAAAGTAGTTTAAAGATTTTTTTTTATACATATGTATTAAATGGAAGTAACTTCAAACTGTGCTAAAACAGCCAGATCCAGTTATTAGCTTTTTATTTGACTCCAACAAGCAGCTTGAATCATTTCCCCCTTCGAGCACTGTGCTATAAACCCCTGAGTGGTTTCTTTTCATGTTTTCTTTACAAGTTTCCATTCTAATCCTCAGTGTTTTCTGAACCAGCCAGTGGCTGTCAGTGGTTCTACATTTAGAGAACCCGAGGGCACCTTCGCAAGCAGAAAGCTTAGATTTGACAACAAACACCAAAGAAGGTGTGAAGTGAAGTGATCTGGTTGTAATTCATCCGTTAGTCTTCACTGATTCAATTCACTTCAATGCAGTTTATTTATATAGCACAAAGTCACAACAGAAGTCATCTTAGGGCACTGAACAGACACATCCATATATAAAAATAATAAATCAACACTATTTATCTGAGGAGCAGATTGCTTTGAATATAACTCTATTGCAGAACTCTTATCTTGAGCAAGCATGAAGGCGACAGTGGAAAGGAAAAACTCCCTCATGCGGAAGAAACGTTTAGCAGAACCAGGCTCAGGACAAGAGGCCATCTGCTTCGACCGGCTGGGTTTGAGAGGAACAGGAAGGAGGAACAGATACACAATGGCAGGTCGAGAATCACATGTTAAGTTACAAATAATATCAAAAGACAACTATTCAATTGTAACAATTTATTTAAGGAAATCAGGTAAATCTGTCCCCCAGTAGTCTAAGCTTAAGGCAGCATAACAAGCCAACCCTAACTATAGGATTTATCAAAAAGGAAAGTCTTAACCCCAGTCTTAAAACTGGACATCGTGTCAGCCTTACAGACAGAAACTGAAAGTTGGTTCCACAAGAGAGGAGCATGATAACTGAAACAATTTCCTCCAGTTCTTCTTTAGGAAACTCTAGGAACCGCAAGTAAGCCTGCAGTCTGAGAGCGAAGTGCTTTGTTAGGGAAATTTGGAACAACAAGGTCTCGAATATAAGATGGAGCTAGGTTGTTGAGAGCTTTGTAGGTTAGATTTCACATTTGAAGATGGCTATCGTTGTTGGAAATCTATCAACATGAATGAAATATAGTTGTAATTGTTTTTCTATAAGAGGAGTGTACAGTGAAACTCGTTTATGATTCACAATTTGTTATAAAAAATGTGCTCATTATGCATGTTACCTGCCAAGTAAGAGGGGAAATGGATCACCAACACATTTTGTCGTGATCTTCTTTTGAGCGATTTGCATCACATTCAGTGACATCACTACTATCCTCTCCCTTTACCTGCAGGTTTTCGAGAGAGTGCCTTTGCTTATGCCATTGCAGCAGCCGGTGTGGTGCACGCGGTGGCCAACGCTTGCTCCATGGGTAAACTGAAATCGTGTGGCTGCGATGCGAAACGGCGCGGGGACGAGGAGGCATTTCGCATCAAGCTTCACCGCTTGCAACTGGAGGCCATCCACAGGGGGAAGGGGATGGTTCATGGTGTGATGGAGCATTTCCCTGCCGACATGCCTGGACTACCCCAGGACTCTTGGGAGTGGGGTGGCTGCAGCCCCGATGTGGAATTCGGGGAAAAGTTCTCACGAGATTTCCTGGATGCTCGTGAAACCTACAGGGACATCCATGCTAGAATGAGGTTGCATAATAATAAAGTTGGGAGGCAGGTGAGTGTTTCACAAAAATATCTTTAGTATTATAACACGTATAATCAAATAAAATATGCTACTATTGTTTTACTGGAGTGTGTTTGTCTAATCACAATGGATGGAGTGAGTTACTGCAGTTTTTTGTTTAATTGTCACCGTTCTGGGTTTTTGAAACTACCGGTTTTAGAGGCCAGTAGTTAATGGTTAAACCCAGCTTCACAGAAGATTAGATTGCCTTTCCAGTCTGAAACATTAAAAGGGTATTTAATTTATATGTCATAATAGGAGATCAACAATGTTCACTTGGTAAAAAAACATTCAAGAATTGAAGGAATGAAGGAAGGTGGCATTACTGAAGATGTCTCTTGAAGCTCAAAAAACTTTTATTTCACCATTCTCCATTTTTCTACTTTGCCATCTCGTTGTGATTGCTTGGGTTAGGAACAAAAACTGTATGAAATGGATTAGACACTAGAAAAATGACAGACAACAGAATCAAGCCTGGAATATAATGACTGTGTGATAGTATGTAACCCATCATACGCCGTTAGAAATTTAAATATACAGGATTTGGTTGTGTTGAATGATAAAATAATTAGGCAAGTGTGAAGAAGTTTTAGACACTACATCTAAACAAAAAATGTGATCTCAAAGATACTTTTTTTCCCCCTTTTTTGACCAAGTATTTCATTATTACTGATGTAATGTCAGTGCCCACCCATGTTTACTCGCATGTCAACAGAACTAATTAGAGTGTGTGTCACAGCTTAGCGTAAATAAGTACTTCTACTGGCTAGCCAGCTGTTATTGCATTCAGCTGACGACCTCCACATTTGTGTTTTGTCTGCACAATCAAGGGAACCAGAAGTAAACTGATAAACAGATACTGTCCAGAGTTACTCGAGAGGAAACGGGGAACAATGAGCAATTTATGGGTGCTTTCTGTTTCTATACCAACGCACTGCTGGACGGTGCCAGGGCTTATCACTGTCAATTAAATCTTCTGCATTTTCCAAGGCTGAATCTTTTTTTTTAAGAAGACAGTAAATTAATCTTAGAAGGATGTTTTTCTTTCTTTCTTTCTTTTCTTTAATTTTGTATACTGGTGGGAAAACCTGCTTTGTAAGAAAGGCAGGTATTCAAAGAAAAGAGGCACAAACTACTGCTTAGTATTTTATCAAAAGTTCGGTTGATACAAAGCTTATTTAAAAAAATATAGTACATTCAATTTGATCTGTTTTTGATGTAAAAAATTATTTTCTTAAATTGGGTCACAAATGTAAAAAAATAATAATAGACGATTAATCAGACGATCAACAACGAAAAGACAGTCCCGTCCAACTGTAATTTTGCAGCTCTCTTCTAATAGAACATAACAATACATTACAAAATATACACTCAAGCATTTTCAACCAGTGTGACATATTCTGTTCTGTTACTGCACTTGCATTTTTTTTTCTTACCTTGTGCATTTCAGCAAAAAGATTAACTGATGTTGAATTGTACTGCAAGTGGACAAATGCACAGACTCAGAAAACTGATTAGCATGAATTAGTGAAATATTAACCGTTACAGGATCTCTTAATTAGATTATGAGCCCCCTTCACACAATAGTTCTGCACCATATCCAATAAGACAAACCCCGCTCCAAGTCATCATTGATTTTTTTTATTTTTCAGTTGTTCTCTTATGAATCAATATTAAAACTTTTTTTTTTTTTTAACAAAACAACTTATTTGTTCATTAAACCTTTATTTAGACAGGTAAATCCCGTTGAGCCTCGAGGACTCATTTACAAGAGAGACCTGATTTCAACAAAGAATTATGACAACAATGGACAACAGCTACAACAATAAACAGTTATAAAAAGTCATACAGGTTTTTTTTGTTTTTTTTTTATAAACAAATAGGATAGCTAAAAAAAAAGAAAGAAAAGTAACGAAAAACAGCTAGATTCTAAGCGAATGTAGAAAACGAAAAACAGGAACATGTCTGCATTGGTCCCTGCCAGGAGTCCAACAGATTCTTAAAGCCACTTAGAGAGGTCAAGGTCGAAAGCTTCAGATCTTTTTGTAAGATATTCCAGGAAACAAGAGCAGAGTAGGAGAAGGCCCTTTTGTCAAGTTCAGTCCTCACTGAGGGAACACTGCGGGTAATAATGTCCTGAGAGCGCACGCTGTAGCTGCACTCAAGCAGAGACATGTAATGTAGGAGGAGATGTATGAAGGCAGCAGACCAAAAAGTGATTCAAAAATGAAAATGTACCAGTGAGAGAGTCTGCGTGAAGTTAATGATGTCCAGTTAACCAGTGAATACAGGGTGCAGTGGTGGGCATGATAATCACAGACAGTTATGAATCTTAGTGCACCATGATAGACAGCATCCAACATCTGCAGGGTTCTTGTAGGAGCGTTCATGTAAATAATGTCACCGTAATCAATGGAGGGAAAGAAGGTCACAGTTACAAGGCGTTTCCTAGCATTCAGAGTTAGACAGGATCTGTTTCTGAAAAAAAAAAAAAAAAAACAGTTTAGCTTTCAGTTTCTTTACCAAGTTTTCCACACGAAGCTTAAAAGAGAGATGCGAGTCGACCAAGATACCCAAATATTTATAGGAATCAACAAACTCAATCGGGACACCATTTTTTAATGTCTATATTCTGATTTACCTCATTTTGTATATTGCTTTGTGTGTTACCTGTTGTTTTGTCTGTACAGCACTTTGGTTGGCCTTGTCGCTGTTTTAAGTGCTATATAAATAAAGTGGTATGGTATGGTATTTGAGAATGAAATCAGAGGAAGAACTGCCGGGACCAACTTCCTATTTGAAAAAAAAGCATCCCTTTGGTTTTGTCAGCATTTAGGACAAGTTTGAGGTGGAACAAATCTGTCTGGATGATGTTAAATGCAGATTTCAAAAGCTGGAAAGCCTTATCAACTGTTTTAGCTCGACAATAAACAACTGTGTCATCAGCATAGAAATGTATGTATGCATCAGGGATGTTTTTACCTACGTTACGTATTTAGATTGTAAAGAGGGTGGGTCCTAAGACTGAGCCTTGTGGAACACCATTGTTGACTGTTAAATAACTGGAGGAAGTACCATTATGTTGTACACATTGCCTCTGATCTCAGAGATAGAGAACCAACCAATGGTGTGTTCTGAGAAACCGATTTCTGAGAGTTTATGACGCAAGATGTTATGATCCACAGTGCAAAAGCTTTAGACAGGTCTAAGAAAAGTGCCGCACAATAATCCTTAGCATCTAGTGCTACAACAACGTCATTAAGAACCTTCAGTGAAGCAGTGGTTGTGCTGTGTTGTTTCCTGAAACCAGATTGAAGGTGAGGTAAGATGTTAAATGAGTCCAGGTAATTTTTGATTTGAGGGTTTATCAGTTTTTCTAGAACCTTGGCTAAAATGCAGAGTTTAGAGATTGGTTGATAGTTGTTCAGTGACGTGGGGTCACCTCCCTTCAGCAAAGGAAGAACAAAGGCTGATTCCAAGCATCTGGAATGGAGTTTTGGCTTATGGCGAAATTGAAGATGTGGGTCACAGGGATTGTGATGATATGAGCAGCCAGCTTTAAGAAAAAAGGTGGAAGTTCATCTGGACCTGCAGATTTTTTAGGATCAAGATCTTTTAACAGTTTATTTACTTCACTGACTGAGAACTGAGAAAAAGAAAAGGTGTGATTAGCTGAGGATTGACTTGTAGGAGGGATTTGATTTGTAGAAGTTTGGTTCTTAAGTGAAGCGGCTGGTTTTCCATTAGTAACTGTGTCAAATAAAGAACTAGAAGCATGAAAATGTTTGTTGAAACAGTTCAGGATCTCGTGCTTATTTGACACAGGAACATAGTTAACAAGAAGTTGTGATGGAAGGTCAGATGATTGGGGGCTGCCTGAGAGAGATTTAATGGTTTTCCAGAATCTGTTAGGGTCATTTAGATTTTTGGAGGTCTGAGATAAAAACTAGTTACGTTTTGCGGCTTTGATAGCAGTTGTGCGTTTATTCCTCATCTGTAGAAAACTCAACCAATCAGTGTCTGAGTCAAATTTTCTCGCTGCAGCCCAAAGATGATCTCTCCTGTGTAGGAGGTCAGCTAGCTCTGGCATAAACCAGGGGCTGTCTCGTCCCTTTATTCTGAACTGACGAAAAGGAGCATGTTTGTTCACAAAATAAATGAAACTATTATGAAAATAGTTCCATGTCATTTAACACAAGGCATTAAGATGAGCAAAGTACAGTCTCAGTCTCGGCTTGGAAATGTTTGATGAAGAGGCTGATTGTTCTGAAATATGATCAAACAAGAAAAAAATCAATGTTTATTTCAGAAATGCAACTTTGCAAATATGTCTACATTCCAGCAAACATATCCACCAACCAAGCAAAATGTTAGCTCAGAATAAACAGTCACGTAAAAAGACTACCTCACCACTCACTGGGCCTAAATAACTCTGAGAGGTTCAGACTCTAATTAGAACTGATGGCCTTCGATGACCTTGGTAAAATGTCAAGACAAAGCTATTTGCAACTGACCTAACTGATACTGTAGATCTGATAATTGATAATATCTCTAAACTTTTAGCCCAAATGCAAATAAGACAATCTCTATTATCTTGTCAAAATTAGCTAATGAGCTTAATAGAATAAGCTCAATTAAGTAAATTGTCAACACAATTCCACATTGGCTACTAGGAGCTCAATCCATAGCATGTTACGACAGACCACAGGCCAAGCATGACCAGTGAGTGTAATGTATAGATGAACTCTGTGGTCCAGAACTATGAGAGAGGGAAACCTCAATGAGTATAGGAGAAACAAAGAAGTGATATTGAATAATGATCAGAGAAAGGAAGTAAAACAGAAAAACAAATGAGCCATTTGAGAGCTCTTACAGTAAAAACCCACATCGGATGACTTCACATGTAAAGCACAATAAAGCCCTATTAAGCCTAAAAAAAAAAAAACACCACACACACACGTATTTGTGCACACATGGCCAATTGTATCAAA